TGCCAGGGGGAGGGGTGTGAGTGGCTGGGGCTGCGGGAAGGGCCAGGCCAAGAGGCCGGGGCTGGCGTGACCCTGGCCCTCCCTGACGGTTGGGAGGAGTGGGGACTGAGAGGCTGCAGCAGCCCCAGATCTGGCCCCTGCCCTCCCTGGTGGCTGGAAGGAGAGCTGGGGGTGCCTACCTCCAGAGACAGGGGGGTTGCCGCCAGGGGGAGGGGTGTGAGTGGCTGGGGCTGCGGGAAGGGCCAGGCCAAGAGGCCGGGGCTGGCGTGACCCTGGCCCTCCCTGACGGTTGGGAGGAGTGGGGACTGAGAGGCTGCAGCAGCCCCAGATCTGGCCCCTGCCCTCCCTGGTGGCTGGAAGGAGAGCTGGGGGTGCCTACCTCCAGAGACAGGGGGGTTGCCAGTGTAGTGAGCAGGGGGCACAGCCCCCTAGTATACAAGAAGATACATTATCTTCACAGATCCAATAACCATCCCAAACACACCAAGAAATCTGTTACATACAGTCAGGCACTCTGATACCACAGAATGTACATCAAGGAGAAAATCGAGTACACGCCCTGTAACACACAACTGCCCTCATCAAACAAGGACACTCCATCAGAGAAGTAGATTTCATCATAAAACAGACCACCCAAATACCTTGAAAAAAACCTGCTTAAATATGAAAATAACTCCCCTATGAGAGCATGCCCCGGTTTTCACTGCACACAATTACAGCCCATATTTGACGGGGACCACAAACTGAAAGAAATCTTTTCTGAACCCTCTCTTCTGAGCTTCAAATAACTCCCAAATCATGCCAATCTCATCATCAGAAGCAAGGTCCCCACAGACCGGGACACACCAATTCAAAGCATCACCAGAGTCAGAACAACAGATGCAAACCCTGCAGACATATCTCCACTGCTAGAATGATCAACACCAACCACAATAAAGCTTTCAAGATTGCTGGGTTCTGTACTTGCCTATCACAACATATACTTTACCTTGCCCAATGCACTAAATGCCCCTATGGCAATTAGGTGGGTAAAACTGGACCATCACTATGTTCTCAAATGAACTCACAAGAAAGTGATAAAAAATAAAAACACCACTTCACCTGTGAATAAACACTTTTCACAAAACAATTGTTCTAGATCTAACTTCCCAGTCCTCATTCTCAAATCAAATCGCCTAATGCTTTCAAAAAATGAGCCTGAGAGTCTAAATTCATAACTTTGCAAGACTCTAAAACAATCATGGACTGAGGAGACAAATTGGATGTATGACTTATTACAACAATCTATAACCAGTCTCAGAGGAGTAGCCGTAATAGTCCATAACTGAAAAAACTTAAACAATGAATAGTTCTGCAGCACTTTAGAGACTAACAAAAAATGTAGATGATAACATGAGCTTTAGTGGGCACAACCCATTTCTTCAGATGAATGGAGTTAAGGAGTCCAGGGTACAAATAGATAGCTGAGAAAGAGAGGGGATGGTAAGGTCTCAGAAACACCCCAGGCCTTGCTTCACCATGCCAAGCACACTAGATGTAGGCAGGTAGGCTCAACTCAGCAGCATACAAGTTTGGAGGAGCTTAGGAGATTCAAGTTTGGGGTGATAGGGTTCTATCTGGGTGCCAACAGCATAGTAAGGGGGTCCAAGTGCAAGGGAGATCTGGATGAACAGCGACTTATTGAGGGGGGAGAAGGGGGAAGGAGACTTAGGTGGCTCTCTCAATTCAGGATTTGGGGTTTTCAAAATGAAGACACACTAGGATTCTGCATGAGGGGTCCAAATGAAGATTTTTGGGGTTCAAAAGGTAGGGGTTGGGTGGGGAAGGCTCAGCAGTGGGGCCCCACATGCTGACTTGGGAAGCTGTTGGTCCAGGTGCTGGCTTTGTAGGACTCATTGGGGTGGGAGTCTGAGGGGGGGAGGGGGGCCTTGTCAGAGTGGTCCAGGTGCAGGGAGGGTGGGGATTTGAATGCATGGGTAATCTAGTGGGGATCTATGAGTGGGGATTTGAATGCATGGGTGATCTAGGTTCAGGGGTGGAGTCCAGATGCAGGGAGGTTAGGATTAGCAGGAGATCTGGTGCAGGGGTGCTCCAGATGCAGTGGGTGAGGCTTGTTGGGGTGTGGGTTTAGGTTCAAGGGCATTAGTGGGGGTTTTCTTAGTGCAGTGGTTGATGCTTGGTGGGACAATCTGGCTAAAAGGTGGGTTCAGATACACAGGTGTCTGGCAGATGAAGGAGAAGCTTCCTGTACAGTAACTCCTTCCCTCCACAGATGAAGAACAGTGAAGCCAGAAAGCAGGCTGTGGTGTTGCCTGTAGCCAGATAATTTTCTGGGGGTGGGTCTGACCCCGTTCTAACTGCTCCTTGCAGGGGAAGAGGAAGTCCTGTCCTCCCCAGTCAGTTAAGACTACTAGCTGTGCATGGCACAGTGTCAGAGTCACTTCCCCCTTACTGATTTATTGCACCCCACTAACTGCTCCTGGCACCCAAATCAACACATCAATGCCGAGGGGTGTGTGTGGCGCATGATCACCTTTGCCCAGGGCTGATACCTGCAGCTGGGTAGCGGGGCTCTGGCTGTCAGTGCCCCACAATGCCCCACACTGACAGCCACTCAAATTGCTCCAGGTGAGGACACATATTGCCAACAAAAGGGAGCTAGGTCTGGGGTGGGCAAAGGAGCCTCCATGGGCCAAATCCAGCCCTTCAAGCAGATGGATCCAGCCCACAGAAGCCCTGCCACTCCCTCACCCGTAGGCCAATCAGGGTCTGGGGGCAGAAGGGGCATGTGAAGTCTCTCACTCCCTGCCCCTGCTTTGCAAGTGCCATGCACCCTTTGCAGGGCAGGGGCAGGGAGCGAGAGACTTTGCATGCTCCTCCCATCCCCAGGTCCTGATTGTCCTGGGGGAAGAGAGGGTACAAAGCCTCCTGCTACCCTGCAAGGGGGTGGGTACCTAAAGGGAACTGCCAGCTTTTCAGATAACAGCTGATAGTTCTCTCTGCAGAGGGCAGGGGGCAAAACTCCACATGCTCCCCCACCCCAGGCCAATCAGAGTCTGTGGGAGGGGGAGCACAGAAGTGTCCTGGGGCAACTTCAAAAATTAGTGAAGCACCCCCTGGTCTAAAATTATTGTCCACCCCTAAGCTAGGTGGACAGGGCTATCCCGTGGGAGATGTGAGGCCAAGGCAACCTCTCTTGCCCCAGGCCTCACCCCTTCCTGCCCCTGCTCTGCCCCCACCCCATCCCCATTCTACCCTTTCCAAAGCCCCAACCCTGCTCCACTCAACCCTGCCTCTTCCCACCTCCCTTGTACCTCTTCCCTGAAGTCTTCTCTTCAGAGCTAGGGAAAGGGGAAGGGGAGAGGAGGGCTAGCATTGGGTAGCAGTAGGGGTCATCCCTCTGCACTCACCATGGTGGTGGGAGCCTGAGAAGTGGAGCAACATACACAGCAGCCTGCTCCCATTTCCCAGCCAGGTTGTTCCACTTCACTTCAGTGGTGGGAAGCAGAGCACTCTGGTCCCCTGAGCAATGCTGAGTTTGGAGAGCAGCATGCAATAGGCTGGGGCACTCTGCTTCTTGTTGTCATAGTGAAGCAGAGCAACCCAGTTCAGAAATGGTGGTGGAGTAGTGCAGGCTCCTGTGTATGTTGCTCCACTTTCCAAGACTTCCTATGTTGCTCCACTTTCCAAGACTTCCTACTACTATGGTGATTGTGGTGGGGGAGGGGGAACTGATCACTGCTGCCATACCTCACCAACCCTGCCAGGCAATCCCTCACACTGCTCTAAGCCCTGTAGGTGCCCATCAATATGGGGGACCATCTTGTCCATAAGATGGCTGGAGTGGCTGCCACGTCCCCCTCTCCCCAAAAGCACAGGGACTGGGGCAGCTGTCTTGAAGATGGGATTGCTCTGGACATACAATACTAATTTAGTTTCCAAACACAGCTTACCACACATTACAGGTAAAAAAAAAATTAATCATGTAGTAAGGCAGAGGTCCTTAAACTGTGGGACATGCGGTTGAGGCCCAGGCCAGCCCCCATGGGGAGCAAGAAAGAGCTCCATCCAGCTCCACTCCTGGCCCTGACTGCTGGCCCCAACATTGGGGGCCTCCACCTTGGTCACCTTACCGCTGTCCACATCCCTCTTCCCCCAGCCTGGGCCATGCTCTCAGTCCTAGAAGTGGTGAAGGGAGGAAAGCAGCAGTAAGGTGTGACCTGGAAAAGTTTGGGGACCATTGAAATAAGCAATGCACCATTCACAATTTTTTAACAATGTAAAAGTAGTAACATTTTTGCCTTAGTGGTCTCCCAAAAGAGGAAAAAGAATCAATGTTCACAACAGAGCAGCTGGCTTCTAGTGAGATGCAACTACTAGGTGGAGGAAAAGGTACATATATTATTCTAACTAGCTTCCTCTCAAGGCTTACTTCTAGGTTTTAGCCTCAAACATGTAATTTTTAACACACACACATCCTTCTTTGGAAATGTCTTTTGTTTATATTCACAATGGAGTTAGGCCTCTTTTTGGGTACAAGCAACTACATATATTCTTCATTATCTTTGCTATCAATCAACAAACCTATCATTTCTGAGAATCGGAGATGGGAACAGAATACATCACTTCCTCCTCTTTTAGCCCTGGGTACTGCACACACTCCCCCAGGGGTTAACCAGAGATTATTAACTAACCGCTGCGCGCAAAAGGTGAGATCTACATACACTGAGCGAAGCAGTCGTACCTACTGAGGTCAGAGCAGCCCCCCCGGAGATAATGGCGCGACACACGTGAGTAAGGGCTCTGCCAGCACTGCGGGAGCGCTCAGGAGACTGGCAAGTCAGTGTCGGTCTCTATAACACACAGCACCGGTAGCGTCTGGCGTCTGCCACAAGCGAGTGGGGTCTTCGGGCTGAAAGAAAATTTAACTTTGCGCAGCACTGAGACGGGCGATCGCCACTGCGAGACAGCAAACTCCATCCCCTCACCTTCCCGGGCAGACACCGAGCGCCCCGCCCCAAGCCCTGCCGACCTCCCTCGGGCGAAGCGATGCTCTAGCTAGCCCTCTGCCACAGCAGTCCCGGGGAAGAGGCTTTGTGGGTGGGGCGGAAACCTCTCCCCCAGCCCGGAAGGCAGAGGCGCTGACAGGAGCACGCAAGAGCGGCTCGGGCTGGGACTGGGAGCCGGCCCCTCAAACTTTTCTCTGGCCTGTTGATCTCCGCCCTTCCTCAAAGCAGCTACAGCAGCTGGTGCGCGCTGGCTGCGGCCGGGCCGGGGCCACAATAGGGCGAGCTCCGGCTCCCTCTCCCCAGGCCGGCTCCCCGTTAGCTAACCTGGGCGGCTGCGCGGCATGTTCAGCCGCTGAAGGGCGGCGCCTGGGGGCGGCCCCGGCC